TTTGGTGGGAGGGAGGGGACCCTGTCGGCCTGACGGGAGCCGCTGAGGGAAAAAGTTTCCGACGTCCGTGCACGCAACGCGCGCACACCTAATGTGTAATGGACGTGAACAACACATCTCGAAGAACAACAGTTACAGAAGGTAGGTAACTGTTTTTTCTTACTCTTTGTCACCCTTATGCTTAAGGGAGTCTTGTCAGAGTTAAGCTGACATTACTGTCCAAATGGTAAGATAAGAGACTCCATAATGTCTGCTAGAGAGTTTGCTATTGCTATCAATTTTACGTGGAAGATGCACAGATACACAGTAACGTATGGCAGTATAAAACCATTAGATCGATAAGCTAAATTAGACAATCAGCATGGAACCCAAATCTCTTACAATTTGTCATTTAAAGTGCATCCAAGAACTTTAGAGGTTTATGAAACAATTTAAAACTAAAAACACCATTTAAAATATTTTGGACAATAATCTCCTACCCCAATAATCCTACCCTAAGGTGGTGCCTCTCCCTAGTTCTCAAATAAGACCTCACTATTATGGCATATGTACTTTTTAAAAGTTCAGCTGACAGGGTCAGTGTTGCATAGTTTAACATGCGTCAGCTGTCTTAAATGACTTGGAGAGAAAATGAAAATATATCAAAGGAACAAAGAAGGGCGAGAAAGGTGGCTAAACCTGCAATGTTTATCATCTTACATCTCAGGTGAGACTTATTGTGCTATAGTTACAAAGCTGTGATATATCTTTCTACAGTGTATATCCTGGAATGGAGGCAAAATAAAAGGTTAGACCAGGGGTCAGCAACCTTTCAGAAGTGGTGTGCCGAATCTTCATTTATTCACTCTAATTTAAGGTTTTGCGTGCCAGTAATACATTTTAACATTTTTAGAAGGTCTCTTTCTATAAGTCTAATATATAACTAAACTATTGTTGTATGTAAAGTAAATAAGGTTTTTAAAATGTTTATGAAGCTTCATTTAAAATTAAATTAAAATGCAGAGCCCCCCGGACTGGTGGCCAGGACCCAGGCAGTCTGAGTGCCACTGAAAATCAGCTCGTGTGCTGCCTTCGGCACGCATGCCCTAGGTTGCCTACCCCTGGGTTAGACCCTATCAAGGTTTTGACTAGATACAGAAGAAAAAAATGTGGCAGAGAAACTTTGCCTATGACAGCTCTTCTTCATCTAAGTGTATACATTTAAACAGCCTTAAATTTTATTTTATTCTGAGACAGTTAACTACTAGCTTCACACCACCTTTATGTAGAGTAGGCCAAAAAAAAGTTATAGTGCAATTACTCCAAGGACTTTTAAGAGCCTGTCTGAAAGCACGGTTTCAGTCTAAGCTTCTGGCTTGAAACACCTAGACTCCCTGTAATTACTGTCTCAGATGGCAGCAGGGTGAATTTAGCCCTTCACCCTTTAACGATATGTAAACTGAGGTCCATGCATTCTTACTCCATGCAAGTCAATTGAGTAAGATTTAAAAAAACAAACAAAAACAGAAGGTGGATCTGCCTTGGGTAGACATGGGGATCCCCTGAGACATTGCATTAGGAGAGGTGTTTGAGCAAGTAGCATGGGACAAAATTCAGACCATTGCCACTGCCCACAATGCTGCATAATGTAATGAGTGTTACTATTGGGTACGGGAAAGCAGGCAGGTGCAAGCCCACCCATTGCTAAAGGACCCTCCCCCAGCCTTAGGGGAGGATCCACAAGGTTCAGGAACTCAAATAATTACAGGGGACAACCAAAAATGTAACAGGGGCAGGTGTGAAGGTCAAAGGGTCCAACAAAGGGAACCTGAGGGGGACACTGAGCAGAGAACCCCGGACAGCGCCCACTGCTCCTTGGTGTCAAGGGAGCCAGCAGACGTCGCCCAGAGGAACTGTGCTGGGATGCGTGAATAGAGGGAGGACCGGAAATAGGACCCACACTCGCAAAGAACCTCCTCAGCCAACATCCTCTCCCTGGTGATGTAGTGAGTGTTAGCAGGCGGCTATCCTCCAACTCTAGGAATGGCTGCATTTCTGTGGCTCCAGCTGTCTTCTATACCGTTTATGAAGTATTCTGGGGTGAAAGCTGCTAGATACCTATAAATATATCCCATTTACATTACTTCATTTTATAACCCTGTTTTTGATTTAAATTGTGAGGGGAAGGAGGTGGGGGATGCACTCTACTCTTAGGTTTTGGAAGTCACTATTATACTGAGTGCAACTGTAACCTCTCATTCCCAGTCTTGATATCACCATAGAACCACCTAAGATGCATTTGTCTTCATCCCTTTTGGGTTCCTGGAGAGATAGATGGGCCTAGTGGGGATCAGAAACTTCTATGTGATGAGGGTCCAGCCAAATGGGCCAGATATAAACATGATTCTCTATGGCATGGGCCTAAATCTAGTCCCACTATTATTTGGAATTCATGTGTTTATGAGCCCTTCTAGAAGTGATTGCTATCACAGGGCATGTTTGGGGAAAGGAGACAGGCTCCAAAGAATGTTCTCCCTGCAGATTGGCATTTTTGAGAGAGAGAGAGAGAATATATATATATATATAAATATAAAAGAACAGCAGGGGGAGTTACCAAATCCCATCCTCACTGCTAGAAGTTCAGCTGTTGTCCGGGATCAAGAAAACTAGTTAACTCCTTTGCCTTCCCATCTGTGCATTTACATCACAAAATTCTTGGTGCAGTTCCTTATAAGCAGCTGGCCCTGGGAACAACACATGGGGAAAAAGCAGCCAGTCCCAAAGGAACAGCAGACATGTGGATAAAAAGTGAAAGGACGGGGGCCACTTCAGCTGTGTGTAATGAGGAACTATCTGAACATTATTACATGGCTGGCTAGTGCAGCAGAGGCAGGAGAGGGCCATACCCATGAAAGGACAATTGCTGAGAGTGAATCTTGGTGTGGGAGGAACTAGGCTATAAGTCTTACGTAGCTGTGAATCACCACCAAGCACTAGAGAGATTCTACAGACCATGCCAAAGTCATAATCATCAACATTCTTAGTTTAAAATGTGGGGTCTCTCTCAGCAGTTTCACATTACAGTTCATAGAAACAAGAACTGGTAGTAACAGAAGGATCATCAGTTCTGAGTTTTGTTATGTGAATGATGAGAATGGCAATGGTCTACTGTTCTCCAGTCACGTTGAAATCACTTCTGTTGCTACTTAACTTTCACTCTTCTTTCAGTGGCTGCAGCTCACCATGTATGCTTAAATTGACCTGGCCTCCCTCCCCTTGTGCATGAACACTGCCCACGACTCTCAGGATTTCTGTTGGAAGCAACCAGCTTCAGAATATGAAGGACTTCCCAACACAGCTGCCTCCCCTGCTTGGAGCCACAGAGCAAAGAACGATTGTTACCCAAGGCAACTTGCATGTTCCAATGCTGAGCTCGAGGAAGGCACAATATAAAAACAGATGGCAATACCCTTTAGGAAAGTGACTAGAGCTCACTACCTAAAAACTAATCTATTAATGCCTCCCTGGCATTTTCCTTTTGCAACACAGGTTTAACTTACTGATGACCAAACGTAAGCATTTTTGGCATGGTAAGGTTACCATCAGTCACTCCCCACACAATGCACATGCCTTTCCACTACTATGCTGGCATGTGGAAAATATTTTCCCTACCGCTCCAGGGCTAGTAATTCCAAGTCAACCGTTAGTCCTTATGCAGGACTAAGTCTGTATCTGAACTGGGTCTCATAGGCACCACTGCCATCTTCTCACTCTTCGGTTTCTCTGTTCTAATTCTGGTTTCAGTATTGCTAGTGCTGCTTCTTCACAACAGTGTACTCAACCATAAATCACACTGATCTTGTGTTTTTTCCTGTGATGAACCATCTAGTATTTTTCATATAATGGCTCAGTAGGCCAGTGTTGATGTTGTTCAAGAACACAAGTGATGAAGACATTATGGATATATCTACAATGCAATAGAAGGTGAATAAATAAATGTGTTCTTAACCTGGATTATCTACATGGGTTAAAATAGCAGTGAAGACACCGCAGTGTGGCTTTTAACTTGAGTTAGCAGCTACAGTTCAAGCCAGTGGAGCAGCCTGGGGCTGACCTCCAGCTGCTAACCTGAGTTAAAAGGTGAATTGCTGTGTCTTCACTGCTATTTTAACCCATGTAGATAATCCAGGTTAAGAACACATTTCCCGCCCCCCCCCTTTTTTTTTTTTTTAAGTGTAGCTGTACCTTGTGTGCTGACAAGGGCTTGCTACCTGTTGAAAACAAGACAATTAAATGAGGCACCAACAAAATATGGAGTTTAACTCCCCTCCATTTTCAATGGGAACTGAGTGACTAACTCCCTTAATCTCTTCTGAAAATCTGACCTGTAACTACCTTGATATTTGGATATGAAGATGCCTTATGACTATCTAGAACAGAGACACCCTTCTATTACTACACAAACAAGTGAGCACTTCCTGTTATTTTATACATTGCCCCATTGTGTACCATTGTATTATTTTAAACCCTTCCTCATCAGATTGAGATAACGCTATCAGTGGAACTGAATCCAGCAACTAATTGCAAGTTTGCCTAGCTCCCGTCTCCAATGGAAACTACACCCTTCAGCTTTTAAGCTTACAAAACTGCACTTTAATACAAACAACTTCTGGTCTTTTAGTCTCAACTTTGTTTTTACAAAAGTCACTTTGTGAATTTAAATTTTATCTGACATACTAGTATTAATCTAGAACTCTGCTGTATCAACTGTTTGCTCCTCATACCCGCCTAGAGTGTTAGCTTTGGATCTGTACTAGTTTATAAACCAGCCTTAATCTCAGCACTGAGTTGTTAGATGGAAAGGAGCTTCCATGATTTGAAGCTCTTTTTAAAAGGGCAATTTATCAATTACTTAGCATCAATTTACCCTGTTGTCTTGATGTGTTCCCCCCCCCCCCACGTGCATTGGCTTGTGGGTTTAAGTTAAGCAGAGAGAAAAGCAAGCTTACCAGAAACCTCAAACTCCTTTCTCCAAAGCAAGGAGAGGCCAAAACATTAGGATTATCTATGTGCATAGCTACTACTGGAATCAGCAAAGTGGGAGGCTTCTGTGATTGACAGCATGCCCAAGATGGAGATTTAAAGAGAGACTACTTTGCAACCCCACAAACGGTAAAAGTGGGTTTATCTTGGAAGGTGATTCCAAGTCCATTTGTAAATTAAGAGGTTCCTAAGCACCTTCATTGAATGTGACTATTTTGGGAAAAAAGAATTTGGTGCAATTCAGATACAAGAGTTCTACTTATGCAATCTAATAAATACTTGTGCTTGTGGTTTGATTCATTGTCATTTTTGCAGGAATGAAGAGGCAAAATGAAAGACTGGAAAGTACTTAATTATGCTGTACACAGGATGCCTTGAGGCTACTTATATGGCAAAGCTGTTGGGTTTTTATATCCATTTCCCTCTAACTGAAAGGCATCTGTAAATTAACCCTTTAAAATCAACATATAAAGTCTCCAGAACAGACAGATGGAGCAAATACAGAGAAGAACAAATTCTAAAGACATTAGGTTTTGTCATGATTACAGCCTCTTTGTTTCTGTGGTGTGGTATCAGTATTCATGGACAATACAGCAGAACAGAGACACCAGAACATTTTAATACAATTAGCCCCCAAATTTGGTGTGCATTCAACCATGGCAGAGCTTCCAGGGGGAAGAAAGAAAAGAAGAAGAAAAAAAAGGTTAAGCTTCTGATATTCTCAGACACTGAAAAATATTTTAAGTTGTGAAAATAATACTGAGATGTGCCATCCAGGCAATTTACTCCCTTAAAATTACTCCGAAGAAATTAGAGACTCTAAATAACAAGATATTAAGCCAGGCATGTTTCAGGCAGTCATGCTCCTTATTGCGCCACATGCTGCCTTGATATAGCAGGATTCTCAAAATAATAGTGCCACAATACAGAAGAGCAAAAAGATGCACATGTTGGGGGAAATGTGTGCTAGTCCAACTTCCAATTTAGGGGAGTCTGGAGATCAGTCGGATTTTTATGGGTATGAATGATTTCTTCACATCATTTAGCCAATACACTCTACCATGGCAGTCAAAACACTGGTTTGTTTGGGTCTTTTTAGTGCAGTTTCCACACAATGCAGTTAGTCTAATTTAAGTTTGTTTTTCATGCTTCTAAATGACAAACGATTGCTTCTCAGGGTCTGAATTTTACCATTCAGCACCACAGGAAAAAAATATGTAGATGCCTACCTAGTTACAAGCCTAACTTTAGGCACCCAGGTTTGAAACTGTTGGCCTTTATGTTCAAAATGCTGTAAGAACATTTACTAATCCTCACCATCCACATGAGGTACTTAAATATTAGAGAAAGTTTAAGTAACTTGCCTAAGGTGACATGGCAGCTCTAGCAAGGCAGGCCAGAACACAAGGGTATCTGTATTCCAGTCCAGTGGTAAATCCACAGTCTTTATTTCCCAATTGGAAGCACACATGAATGTTACACTTTCTGGTCATTCCATATAAAAGCTATCACACACAGCTGATAGATTAAATCATTTTAAATTATCCAGTGAAGGAATTAATTCCATTCAGACTGTATTAAACTGAGACAGAACACCTTAGTATAAAGAACTTTTATTTTTTCCTTTTTTTTGTTTGTTTTGCTTTATAAAGTTCCATTAATATGTTCACAGCTTTGCACCAAAATGAAAGAGGAAAGACCAAGTCATTCTGTGCACATGATCCACACAGCTTTACTTATGAAATACTAAAAAGCCACATTGGAAGAATGAAAGTGGGATAAACCAAAGACTAGGTTTAACATTTGTAACAAAATGAAGTTGGAGAAGCTGGCAGGCACATATTAAAAAAACACTTTACCTATACAGTTTGCTTTTTATTTTTACTAATAAATATTTTACAAACAATAACTGAAACAATTTCAATAATCTTGCTTGCATATTCTACAATTTGGGACTATCTAGACTATGTCCAGGCGGTAGTACCATACATACCTGAAAACATCTTAAATTTCATCTAGTATTTGTGTTTAGTCACAAAAGGGAAGTCATCCTGTCATGACCACAGATTTATCCACAGGAATCCAATGTTTGCTAGAACTTGATTTGCATTTATAGGTTTTGTTGTTTTCTTTGTTTGTTTTGATCCAGCAGCGTTGCAGTGTGAAGGTCTGCAAATATGCACAGAAAACTTTGCAGCCAAACTTGTGCTGTTTAGCAACAGGCTTTGACAACAAATTCCATTTATCATCTTATATTTTGACCACGCATTTTTGAAGTCTGCATTCTAAACACTTGCCACAAGAAGGCAAACAGAAGCTGGGGTATTTAATGCATTTTTATATCAATGAACTGAAAAATCCCCCATCTACCTCGAAAATGGTCCTTGCTGACCACAGCTCAGTAATTAAGGCATCTTGGGGGGCGGGGGTGAGAAACACTAAACCATCATCAACTAGCTACCATTTCTTCCATTAAGGCCCTGCAATTGGGAGGGGAAAAGATGACTGAAAAGCAACAATATTGATAATGTATCTACCAATTCAACTGCTGTTTTCTGAGAACAAATAAATTGTAATTTGGGATATAGCTAGAAGATGGTAACACCTTTTAGAGCTACTCCATTTATTCTCGCCTCCTTGTGATTGGAGGTGGAGTGGGCAAACATCATGTGGAATTCCCAGATTCTTAAAAAAAAAAAAAAAAAAAGATTTACAATGGAAAGGTTTCCTGAAGATTATCTTCTGTGATACATAACCTATTTCCTATGTTACCACAACACGATCATGTTCTGAGCACTTACACCCAACTAAACATGGTCATGGCATAAGCAAAATATCAGTATTGTTGGGGGTAAGGGGGGGGCGGCGGCGGCAGGGAGTGGTGCTATGCACTCCAACAAGACCATCATATTTTAGTTATACACCATACACAGCCCTTAGCCAATATATAAGAAAAAATAAAAATAAAGCCCCACTTTCCTCTAGTTACTTTATTTTTAACTCTTTCCTTTCAAGAAAAGCCAAATACAAACAGTCTTGAACACTGCTTCAGATGTGTAGTATTACTTTCCTAGAGACATCTATTCTTCCAACAAATATTCCCCTTTCCCAAGACAAATTTCTAGTAGTTCTTTGAGTGGAGGAATGCCAGATGTCAGACTCCTGTGTGGGTTCAGGGATCGGGGACCAAATTTGCCTAATAAATCCAGATTTTAAATTTAAAGACCTAATGAAAAATTAATTTACCAACTACTGTCCCTGCAATTTTCTTAGTGCCTGGAAGAACCAAGTGGTCATTAATTAAATCCACCCAGATTTCCAGTTGAACAGGTAGGAAAGTGGATAATACAGATGGGCCCAAAACTGAACCCCATATCCAAATGCCCCTCAACTTTGGGGAAGTTCAGATCTTCATGGCAGCTTTGTGGCTTAGGGCTCTCATGGAAATTTGCTGCGATGCAGCAAAATGGTATAACCTTTTTCTCTGAACCCCAAAAGTAACTACAGACAACTTATGAATATGCTGCTAAAACTTTTGTAAAGCTCATCCACCTACATAATTTCCCCTGACCACCACTAATTCTAATATTTAATCAACATCTGTTTCTTTGTAAGCTACCAAACATAGGCACCCAGATGGGAATCACTGTTAGTTCTCTCCTTCTGGCATAATAGAAGGCTACATTTCATCAATTCCAACTACACTGGGTGTATAGTTTAAAAAGGTTAACCAAAGAAAAGATTTCAGATGTCTTGAAATTAACTAAAAAGAGTTGGAAATCTTTGTTCGCTCTCATCTAACTTTAAGCACCCCCCGCCGCCCCTTATAAAAGTAGTCAGGAACACAAATGAAAAGTGTGAGAACGGCATATCTTGCAATACTTAATATAGTGCAAAGAACATTCACACATTCTTGCAAACACAGTCATTGACAGTCTCCCAACATATTAAAGAAATGGGGAAACAGTGCAAAGTACCTACCACAAGGAAAAGTAATAAAATGCACACGCACACCAGTCCTCAAAATGCACTCCACAAGCTTGTCCTTAATACACATGGCTCTGTACCTTCGCTTCAAATCACATTCTGCTAAGAATATCCTAAAAAATTCACATTGTTTCTTCCACACCTTTGCATGCCACTTTCCTATTGTGTGAAAGCTCCTGAATGTCAGTGGTTTAGGAGGTGTTTTGTAAGCCTTCCACAGCCTTCTGCTTTAAGATTGAGTTGCCAAAAAATCCCACCGCGCGCACACACAAATTACACTGCTCAGAGAGCTCCTTGAATTAGACTGGCACTTAAAGTACTCCATCCATAGGCCACAGCAAGGCTCCCAGTGCAATTCTCTGCTTTTCTTTGGAGAAATCTTTTCACAAAAGAAAAAAAAATTATCAATCATTAGGAACCTATTTCTTTAAAAGTCTTTGAACCATGAGGACTCCTACAGCTCAGGAAATAAGGTGGGCACTTTATTCCATTGCGAAAGTTAAAGAGATACAAGAAAAATACTGATTTTGTGTAACTACAGAGATTTTTCACCCCTCTGCCAGACAACATAAAAGGATGACCTTCAGAGACTCAATGAAAAGGATGACCTTCAGAGACTCAAAGTCTTTGATTTAGTAGCAGGCTTTCCTCAAGCACGTTGGTGAACAAAAAGGTTTCTCCATTACCAAAAAGCAAGGCTATAACATTACATTAATCTGCATTAGGAATATTTAAGCCTTGACCTCAGTAACTGAAGAGACACTAGATGAAACTCTGAACATATTCAACCTCTTCAGCAGGTTCTGGACTTGCCTATGGAAAAAGCAGTTTCTGCCACTAGGTTTCTTTTTCCCTTCTTTGCATATCTAGTGAGAACTCTTACTTTCCTGTACTGAGCTGGTATTAAAAGGGAGGGAAGATCACCCTTTGCTACCTTCACTTAGTCTCATGACCTAGAAGGTGTGTGGGGAATAGGGAAAGGATGGGGGCGGGGAGGGACCAATCCCACAAACAGCCTTTTCTATTTTGCAGTTCCTGCTGGACAAATGAGATTTCAGTCCCCCACAGGAGTAAGTAAGGAGCAAATCAGACCACTGGAAACAATAAGCATGGCCTTCCCTTTATGGCAGTTTGCGGTATCTTAAAAGCATTCGTAGAATGAAGTCTCCTACAGATTATATGCACTTTGTACCCTCAGCTTCTGCTTGAGATCCTTGGACTCTAAAATCCTGCTCCACACCCAGCAGCTCTCTGTTGCACACTTCCATGATAAACTCGAGTGACTGCGAAGCTGATGCAAATAAAGTCAGTTTACACTGGAAACAGAGCAACACCAAAATGGCTGTATTCAGACATGTGGTGCCTGTGCATCTGCTCAGTAAACTGACTTTCATAAAGAGACAGGATTGCAGTGCCAGTCAACAAAATTCTATGTGAGATCTCAACTAAAATAAGTTATGAAATCTGCCAAAATAAACTACCAAAAATCAGGAATCCAGCTCTTGTGTATCAAGACTGTAGTAGTTGTCAAAATGCAAAATACAAAGCTGGCATTACTCTCTGTACCGTCTGCCACTAAGGGACCTAGTCTTTTAATTTGTTAGAGATCACTAAGTGGGTGTATGAAGGAAGAAGTCAGGCTGCTTTGCGGCTTCAACACCTCTCAAAAAAGTGTCTGCCCTCATCACAAATCTCCTTAGAGAATGTAATGTGCAGGACAGTGAAATCCAGTCAGTCACTGTGCATTTTACCAATCAGAGCAACCTTTAAACAAAGAATAATCAAAATGTCAAAGCATAAATTGCAGTCAACATTAAAAAAAAAAAGGAACCACTTAATTCCAGTTTCCCATTAAAATACTATATAGTTTTATGAGGACAGCCAACATTTGTAATGGAAATTCAGTGCTAACTCTCTGTGGAACTTGTGTCTTTCTAGTTAGAAATATTTTATTAAAATTGGCTAAAAAATGAAAGCATGTGTGGGATTTGCATACAACATGAAACAGTTGAACACTACTCGCCTTGGTTAAATCCTTGCACATTTGAAGGTGTTATTGAATGCTGGCACCTAGTTTTATCTCAGTCAGAATAACCCTCTGAATGCCCAATCTTAGATGCACAGAATGCACTTCAAATGGGCACACAAGAGGGGATGCTCATAGTGTCTTCTGATGAATAAAAACTGAACACGGTTTGGTCTGAAAGTTAATGGGCCGCTCCCATTTCTACAGAGTTGCATGTGAAATGCAGTCTCTGTAGTACGGCAGTTAGGCTCCACTCCCTTTTTCCACTCCAAGGAGGAAAAGGAGGAGGAAAGAGGACGGGACAAGAGGTGAATGATGTATGGAATAGTTCTGATGTATAAAATTACTTCCCAATATGGGAGGTGAAAAGCTTCATGAGTCGATTCTGCTGTCATCCTTGGCATGTCTTTCAATGTGTCCTGCAGCATCCTGGAGGGAGAGGAACAGAGAACAAGTCATTAAAGAATGAGTGCAAAGGGTTCTAGAAGCCACAGTGCACAGCATTCTGAACACATTAAGAAATCACTGGCTTGCAGAAGATATTAACACCCGGCAATCCATATCAAGGTGCCTAGCAAGCAAGACACAAACTATGGTAGAACAGCATTATAAAAACTATGCTAAAAGCTTCGGGGGGAGGAGAGGGTGTTTATAGAAAATTTAACTAGTAAGGTTCTCAGATAATTCCTGTCCATACTATTTGGGGGGAAATTAATAGAATGCTGCTAGCAACTGCTAATTTAAACATAATTGTAACCATCACAAATCTGACTACAGGCGTCAAGGGGAATGGAGATATATACCTATCTCATAGAACTGCAAGGGACCTTGAAATGTCATCGAGTCCAGTCCCCTGCCTTCACTAGCAGGACCAAGTACTGATTTTGCCCCAGATCCCTAAATGGCCCCCTCAAGGATTGAACTCACAACGCTGGGTTTAGCAGGCCAATGCTTAAACCACTGAAATGGAAGTGTCTAGTGCAGGGGTTGGTAAACTTTTTGGGCCGAGGGCCACATCTGGGTGGGGAAATTGTATGCAGGGTCGGGGCAGGGGGTTGGGGTGTGGGAGGGGGTGCAGTGTGCAGGAAGGGGCTCAGGACAAGGGATTGGGGTAGAGGAGGAGTGCAGAGTTCAGAAGGGGGCTCAGGGCAGGGGTGCAGGAGGGGTGCAGACTGTGGGAGGGAGCTCAGGGCAGGGGGTTGGAGTGCAGGAGGGCTGCGAGGTGCAGGCAGGGGGCTTAGGGCAGAGAGTTGGGGGCGGGGTGCAGGCAGGGTTCAGGCTCTGGCCTGGCATCGCTTACCTAAAGCGGCTCCGGGTTGGCAGCGGCGCGCACCGGGGCCAGGGCAGGCTCCTTGTATGCCTGCCCTGGCCCCACGCCGCGCCGCTCCAGGAAGCGTGCGGCCCCGTGGGGGGGGGGGGGGAGGA